TGAGGGTGTCTGATAGTTTAGGTCTCATTTTTCCTACAGCTTTTCAACTGGATATTATCTAAGCCCATTATGCAGTAGAAGCCATTCAACATCTGTGCACTTCCTGGCCACTTCAGCTGTGAGAGTGAATTGTTAGAATATTGCAGAGACTTTCTGTGTATAAATGTCCTTTGGGTAATGCGCAGGGATGGAGGAGAATATGATAACCTGAGCATGATCAGTCAGCTACCACTCTGCCTACATTTAAAGGAAGCGAGAATCTCAAAATCTTATCTATTTTAAAACTTCGAAAACTTCTTGATATGATTTTCTTGAACCCCAAAACTGCAAATACAGCAAAAACATAAAGGCTAAATACTTCAGAGATTAAATCACCTTTAAAGAGTTCTTTCAGATGTTGGTGTTCACCTGGTCATGAAAATAACTTACATGGGTTGCTTTTGTTTCTAGAAGCTGCTGTTGTGTAGGCAAACAAGTCTGGTTAAACTGCATTTCAAGAAAAACTTGTTACAAACATGAAGCCCATATATTGGGAAATGTTATGAAGTTTCAAACCATCTACTGATTATCAACAACTTATTTTTTTCTGTTGAGATAAAATTCATATAACATAAAATTAGCCATTTTATTTTTTTCACTTTTTTGTTAATACATTCTATACATACTAGTGAGATTTGTTGTCACATATTCATACATGCATACCATATAAAAATAAAACTTGATCAATATTGTTCCCCAGATTTTCCCCTGGAACATTTTTCCCCCTGTTTTTTTATTGGTACATTATAGTTGTATATATTTATATTGTTACATATTCAAACATGCACACTGTGCACAATGTATTTTGGCTAATATCACTCCCCAGTGATTTCCCTGCCTCCCACCCCTTGGTTCCTTTCCCTAACTGATCTCCCTTTGATTTTCATTAGATCATCCCCATCTTTCTTTTCATTTTTCCTCTCTAGCTTCTGTGAATGAGAGAGAACATATGACCCTTAACCTTCTGAGTTTGGCTTGACTTAGCATAAAATTTTCTAGTTCCATCCATTTTCCTCCAAGTGCCGCAATTTAATTTTTGTTTATGGCTGAATACAACTCCATTGTGTATATATACCACATTTTCTTTATCCATTCATTCCTCTATGGATATTTAGAATGGTTCCATAATTAGCTCTTGTGACTTGTGCTACTATAAACATGTATATGCATATATTGCTATAGTATGATGACTTTAATTCTTCAGAATAAATACTGAGGTGGGTATAGTGAGGTCATATAGTGGTTCTATGCCTAGCCTTTTGAGGAACCTCCATACTGATTTCCATAGTGGTTATACTAATTTACAATCCCACCAACAGTGTGAAAGTTTCCCTTTTTATCTACATCCTTTCCAGCATTTATTATTAGTAGTAGTGTTTTTGTTGTTGTTGTTGTTTTTGATGCCAGGGATTGAACTCAGGGGCCTTAACCACTGAGCCACATCTCCAGCCCTTTTTACATTTTATTTTGAGACAGGGTCTCACTAAGTTGTTTGGGGCCTTGTTAAATTGCTGAGGCTGACTTTGAATTCACAGTACTCTTGCCTCAGCCTCCTGAGCTGATGGGATTATAGGTATGTGCCACTACACCTGGCTTATTTTTTGTATTCATAATGACTGCCATTCTGATGGGTATGAGATGAAATCTCAATGTGATTTTGATTTGCATTTCTCTACTTGCTAATGATGTTGAACATTTTTTCATGTATTTGTTGGCCATTTGTATTTATTTTAAGAAATATCTTTTTATTTCACTCACCCATTTATTAAGTGGGTTATTTGAATTTGGGGTGTGAAGTTTTAGTTCTTTATGTATTCTAGATATTAATTCTCAGAAGAGTTGCTAGCAAAGATTTTCTCCCATTCTGTAAGTTCTGGTTTCACATTCCTAATTGTTTCCCTTGCTATGCAGAAGCTTTTTAATTTGATGCCATACCATTTATTAATTTTGGCATTATTTCTTGAGCTTTAGGGGTCCTATTGAGAAAGTCATTACCTGTGCCTATATGCTGGAGTATGACCCTAAGTTTTCTTCTAGGTGTTGCACAGTTTTTTATTTAATTCCTAGGTCTTTGATCCATTTTGAGTTGATGTGCAAGGTGACAGACAAGGGTCTAGTTTCATTCTTCTACATATGAATAACCAGTTTTTCTTGCACCATTTGTTTAAAAGGCTGTTTTTTCTCCAATGCATGTTTTTGGCACATTTGTCAAGGATATGACGACTGAAGATAGGTGGGTTTGTCTCTGTGCCTTCAATTCTGTACTGTTGATCTATGTGTCTGTTTTTATGCCAGAACCACACAGTTTTTGCTACTATAGCTCTGTAGTATAATTTGAAGTCAGGTATTGTGAGGTCTCCGACATTGCTTTTGTGTCTTAGAATTGCTTTGACCATTCTGGATCTTTTTATTCTTCTAAATAAATTTTAGACTCTTTTTTTCTAGTTCTGTGAAGAATGTTATTGGTATTTTGATGGGGATCACATTGAATCTGTATATTGTTTTTGGTAGTATGGCCATTGTAACAATATTAATTCTGCCTATCCATGAACATGGGAGATCTTTCCATCTTCTGAAGTCTTATTTAGTTCCTTTTTTTAGTGTTCCATAGTTTTCATTGTTGAGGTCTTTCACCTCCTTGGTTAGATTTATTCCTAGTGTTTTGTTGTTGTAGTTGTTTTTCTTTGCTTGTTTGAGGATATTGTGAATGGAATTGTTTTCCTGATTTCTTTCTCAGTAGATTCATTGTTGGTATATAGGAAGGCTATTAATCTTTGTTTGTTGATTTTGTAACCTGCTACTTCATAAAAATTGTTCATTAACTCTAACAGTCTGTTGGTGGAGTTTGCTGGGTTTCTGTAATGTCATGGTGGTTGCTCTTTTTCATCTCTAATTTTATTAATTTGGGTTTTCTCTTTTTCTTTTGGTTAGTTAAAGGGCTTGTTTTGTTTTCAAAGAACCAACTTTATTTCATCAATCTTTTGTATTTTTTTTTATTCTCAGTTTCATTGATTTTGGCTCTGATTTTAATTATTTCCTTCCTTCTACTGGTTTTGGAATTATTTTGTTCTTTTTCAAGGACCTTGAGATGCATCATTAGTCTGCTTATTTGGGATATATCTGATTTTCTCATGTAGGCGCTCATCTCTATAGACTTTCTTCTTAGCACTGCCATCATAGTGTTCCAGAGGTTCTCATATGTTGTATCACTATTCTCATTGGAGTCTAAGAATTTTTTAATTTCTTCCTTGATTTCCTCTGTTTGGAAAATACACTTTTGAATGATGAATGGGTCAATCTCCATGTGTTTTTATAGTTCCTATAGAGTTTCGTCTTGTTGTTTATTTCTAAAAATTGGCCATTTTAAAGTGTATGTTTCACTGCTATTTTTTGCTTTCTCATTGTTACGCAACCACCATCTCTTATCTAAGTTCCAAAACATTTAATCACTCCAAAATAAAACTTTATGTCCACTAAGCAGTTGCTCTTCATGCTCCCCTTTTCCTATAAGCCACCATTCTGCTGTCTGCATCTTTGGATTTACCTATTCTTGGTATTTCATATAAATGAGATGATTTAATACATGGCTTTTGTGAGTGGCTTCTTCCATTTAATGTGCCGTCAGAGGTAATGTTCATCCATGTTGTTGTGTGTATGTGTACTTCTTATGGCTGACCAATATTGCTTTGTGTATCTATATTGTAGTTTGTTTATCCATTCGTCCATTGATGGACATTTCAGTTTCCACATTTCAACAAATGTGAATAATGCTGCTGTGAACAGGGGTGTACAAATATCTGAGTACCTTTTTTTTTGTCCTTTTAGGAGTACACCTAGGAATGGAATTGGTAATTCTATTTTTAATTTTGCAAAGAAAGCTGTTTTCCACTTAGTGGGATTTATTTGCTCCGGGTATAAGGAAGGAACATTTATTGTTCTCACTTCTGTTGCTTCCTCTCAATTGATCTCTGTCCTTTCTTTAGTCCATCCTGAGACAGATGATGGAGTGACATGCCTGAAGATAAAGTCTGTTGTTTTTGCCTTCCTGTGTGTGAGTCTGCTGGGTGGGAGGCCTATTGTGGTCTGTGCTGACATGACTGTATGTGTGGTGCTGCTGAATCGGGTTGTGTTTGGAGGCCAGTTAGGTTTTAGGTTTTATTCTAGCAGAACAGGTGCTGGTATTTTGTCTTTTAATATAATCTTAATCTTTCTTTAGCTGTTAAATTGTAATCTTCCTTGAGTCCAGTGTGCTACTTATTGGGTTCCAGTGGTAGGTGCAAAACTAAGGACATAAGAAGTTATAATGCCAGAGGTGTGTGACCTTTATTAATTTGGCTGGGAATTGTAGATTGAAAATCTCATTGCCATTCACTTTTAGCAATGTTGACTTAAGAGAAATTCACGTAATACTTCAGTTTCAATTTCCTTGTCAATGAAAATAGGGAAATATAATCTATCTATCTTATGCCACAAGGATGTTATGGGGCTTGCTGAAGTATCAGAGCAACTAAATGATAACAATGGACCCCCAAAATCATAAGATTCTAATTTGCATACTGGCTTCACATATTTTGCCAGATTTTTAACAATATACACTAATAAAATCTGAATTTTAAAAAATTGACTTCAAACATCACAGCAGAATGATTGTCCTCAGGAATAATGTCTATATAGAGAAGTTGGCAAGTTTCTAATCTTCAAATAGAAAACGGGGGACTTTGCATGGTAAGTATTCACCAGCCAACACGTGGTGATGAACCCAGATGCCTGGCTATTCTCTTTCAAGGTCATTTCAAGGGCTGAAATTTGATAAGTGACCTTTATTTTGAGGAAAACCATTTTGAGATTACTTTATAATTCTATAAGGTAAGTTTTGTAACTTCATGTAGCGTTATCTTTAGATTACCAGGCTACATCTGCAGTAAGAAACATTCTTATCTTTTCTAATATTCTTGTCTTAGGTAACACGTCACCTTGCCAAACTGTTTGACAGCATCACAGATCTGCAGTTTGAAGATAATCAGGATGCATCTGCTTACAGAGCAGTTGGGATGTACAGCAAAGAAAAGGAGTATGTTCCGTTCCAAGCCAAGTGTGAATGCATAGGCCATGTAAGATTTGATTATGAGGTTTTCTATGCCAGGGGAGTTAAATTGAATAAGAAAAAAACAACTCATGTCAAATCAGGCTCTGGTTGGTCTTGAGTTAGGAGATTCCTGTTTGCTGATATCCAGTGTGAGAGGGGGCTACTGTCCCAAGCTTCCTGGTGACTGGTCATTTAACTTCAGCACCCAGCAGGGTGTCAGAGATCCTGGGAATTGAACTAGACAGAATGGACTATGACAAATGGAATGAGTGGACTCCAGAAGTACTAGCAAATACAGTCCAGTGACTTGACCTTCTACAAAATGTGCTCTGTTCCACCACTCCTCAGAATGCAGGAAGGGTTAGATCCAAGCAGTGTCCAGAAGTAGGGTGGTTTTAAAGAGGCTTGTGGTTCAATATTCTGATATGAATGTTGTAAATGGCTGCTCATAAATAAGGCTGATTGAGTTGTGTGCACAGAGGTAACAGAATATTTTCTACAGTTACAGTTAAATACCTCAAAAACACCCTTAAGAATTATCCACAGAATGCCTACTTATAACTTATGACAGAACTTTTGATATATGCAGATGATTTAGGGAAATTGCATCTTTTTCTGATGAGGCTTATGTATCTTAGATTAACCCACAGAGTAACCAAGGGAGTAACCTGTGTCAGAGAACTGTTTGGGCTGGGACAGGGAGTTCCTTATAAAGTGTTCTTTGCAGAAATGTGATTGCAAGCTTATTTTATAAGTGTTTCCTTTACTCTTCTCTGTTGCCTTTTAATATTGTACCAGAAAAATCCTGCCAAATGAAGGGGAAGCAGATGGTAGAATACTTTGATTAAAATATATTTTTTGATCTCTTGGGCTTTTAGGATATTATTATAATGATTAGAAGAAGTCACCATAAACTATCTTGACAAAAGTGTGCTGCTGTCTGCTCCCTCCCCAGCAGACTGTTCATCTCCTGGCATGGTGCCCAGAGGGGAGAGTCCAACTGATGGATGTAGTTGTCACTAGCAGGAACCCTTGATATTGAAAGTTTTTATGATGCTCTAATTTATTCTATATAAGCAATTTATGCAAGAGACTTGGGGACATATACTGCATTCACTTAATTGCCTTTGTTTTACAATAAGATGCTTTTTACTTTCTTATTAAACCTTTTACATTTTTATAATTGTTTCCTCCAAATTTAGTCTATTTATTTGACAAGTATTTACTGAATATCTACGGTGCATTGTATGCCAAGGTAGGTTTTTAGGGACCCAGAAATGAATAAGATATAACCCTTGTCATTGAGGACTCCTTGGCTCATCGAGGAAATGTATATTCACATTATGAGTAATAATGGGAGGTGACAATTGTTGCCATAGAAAGTTAGGCAGAAGGTTTTGAAGTATTAAAAAGGAAAGGATGTAGCAAGCACTCCTCAGAACTTAGTTCTGATCATGCTGAATTAAGTCAGCATTGTTGGTGTAGTCATTTGAACACCACGAGCTGGTATGTTGACTGCCACATGTGTTTGGTCTTCCCAAATGGACTGGAATGTTCTTGAGGACAGGTGGCTGTATTGAGGACATGAGCCACAGAGTATATAGGAGCTGCACACATAATGACTGATTTACTGGCAGAACTTGTTATCTGGTGTCTTTATGAGTTGTGCTTAGTGATTAAAGCAGAGATACAGGACTCTGTTTTTTAGATCAGGGACCATTAACTCAAACATTAACAAAGCCCAGCTAATAAGAGATGTTGGGGCCGTGACCATGATGGTGCTTCCTTTTTTCGTACAGAAGAAGATGGATAGCTCATCAGCCTCCCCACTTCTCTTGAGAAGATGTTCTAGGAATGCTGCTTCCATCTTCACAAGAGAAGGGGAAGAAATCAGTTGTAAAATCTTCAGTATCTCACATGGTTCTAGAATTTATTCAATATAGTCTTTTTTGGCTGTACTCAATCATTTGCAAATAGTTATGAATCCTTTTACTTATTGATATTTGCAAATGAAGACAGATGCATTATTAACAAAGTACATCTGAACAGGGTGGAAAACTGACTAAGATATATTTGTGGGAACAAAATAAACTTGAAATGAAATTTTTTTTAAAAAAATTAACTTTCACAAGTCAGCAGTTGTCCTCTTTTTTATGTTCTCTTGCTGTCTTATTTCTGACAAGTGTGAAGATTAGAACCACTAGCGAATATAATTAAGATACTTACTAACAACACTGTCATGAGATTCAGAACTATGAAGTTATTAGAGAATTTTCAGGAGATTTAAATATTATCAGAAGATAATTTTTTAGAAATCAGTTTTCCATTATCCCCAAAACTCTTGAATATGACTCAGACCTCAGGTGGTGCTGCATTTGGTTTCTCAAAACACTGTCGGAGCTGGGGAGATTCTTGGTCTAGAACCTCTTAGTCTTTAAACCTGGAAAATGAATAATAGAGAACCCATGCTCTGTTTCGGCTGTGGAAACCTATTAGGCAGCTGGTATGTAAAATGCAATGAGGTGTGTCAGCATGAGAAGACGGGCTCATGTAGGAAAAAGACTTCATTAATCATTTGATCATTTGCTCATCCTCCCCTCTGTAGCTTTCTATAGGACTTTAAAGTGAATCCACACAAGGTCTTGCTTGCTGCATGGCCTAGAGCTGGTGGGAAGGTAGAATGGTCCTCCTTCCATAGTTAACCCTATGCTACACATTCCATTTGTTTCTGAAGGTGGAAACTTGGCTTCTGCAGCTTGAACAGACCATGCAAGAGACGGTGCGCCAGTCTATCACCGAAGCCATAGTGGCCTACGAGGAAACACCCCGGGAACTGTGGATTTTCGATTTCCCAGCTCAGGTTGCACTGACCAGCTCACAAATATGGTGGACCACAGATGTTGGAATAGCCTTCAGTAGGCTGGAGGAAGGCTATGAAACAGCCCTGAAGGATTTCCATAAAAAACAGGTATTTTTATAGGTTTATGATTTTTGACACTTGAAGGGACTTAAAGAGGTAAGTTTCATTCATTCCTTTATCATTTACATTTGGATAAAAATACATTCTTAGTTTTCCATCCTTTGGAAGATGTGGTATTGGTTTCTATTTGAGATTATGATTGAATTTAAAGAAGTGGCTGATTTCTTCCTAGGGTGCTGTCTCTGTAATTCTAGTGGCTGAAGCTAAGTACTTAATTTTTATTTCATGGACATAAATAACTGAGATAATTAACTAAAACTCAATTTTATTATTCTCTGATAAAAATTACTTGCTGGTTAATCTGCTAATAATTGCTTTTTTATTACAACTGTTTTATATGTAATAAAATAAAATACTTAGTTAAAATAATATCCTGTCTTAACTTTCAGCTGTTGTCAATCACTGCTCAAACTTAAATCTTTCAACAAGCATATTTCTACTTATTTTACTCTAAATTTTTTTCTCTTAATTTTTCTCCCTTGCCTTCAACTTGTCATTTCTGTGCTTTTTTGAATATTTGCTTCTTATAATAATAATAATGATATTTTATAGATTATATCAATTTTATTTTCAATTTCATGATTTAGTATATGTTTATTGGCAAAAATACAAAAGAAGAAAATATGCTCATAAAATTAATGAAAAATATTTTTTTAAAAGCAAAATATAGATTCACTTTCTAGAAAAAACATTTGGCATATAAACATTTAAAGTTTTTCTTCTATTAACTAATTCTACCTTTGTGTGAGTGTATAGATGCCTATCTCTACATAAATATGTATCAATTTGTACTATTTATATATAAGTATAATTATACATATATAGTAGATTTATATCTATATTGGCAGGTATGCATAGAAAAGTATCCGTTTCTTTTACATGCCATATATTTTATTTGGTTAATTAATGTTTTCATTCAATATATTATCAACCTTTTTTCTCATCATGATTATACATCAAATTTACACTAAAAATAACCAAATGGTATTAATTTATCTGGAAATTCCAGCAATTTTTTCCTCCCTCTATTTTCTTTGGGTTTCCTCTGATTGTCCAATTCTTAGGCAGGCTCTCGATTCTGTGGTTCCAGGGATAATGTTTGTGCTCTCAAGGCTCTTAAATTGTTTTGACAATTTAAAGTTCATAGATGAAAATCATTTATTCTGATCTCTAGTATCTCCTCTTTTTTAACAATTACTTGCCATTATTTTATGTTATTTTTTGAACCCTATTAATTGTGACATTATTTTAAATTGTACTTAAATTTACCAATGTTTTTTAGCAATGACTTATTTAATTTTTATCCCATTTCCTATTTCTGGATTTAATTCGTCTCCATAGTAGACCTTTTAGCAGTTCATGCAGTGAATGGTTGATTATCATTGGAAAACTTCTGGTTCTTTGTCTTTTTTATTTTGACTTTTGATATTTTTGCTAGGTATAGAATTCTAAATTGAGAGTTATTTTCTTTTCAAACTTTAAAACTATTTTTCCATTATCTTGTGGGTTTTATTTTTATAAAAGCTTCAGTTAAATTTGTTTTTCCTTTGTAATTAGTCTATTGGTTATGGCTGCTTTTAGGTTTTCTTTTTGTGGTTCTGATATTTTATTATACTATACATTATTGTAGGGGTTTTTTCCCCTTCAAATTTAGTATGCTAAAGACTCGGTGAACCTGAATCTTCATTTATATGTCTGTCTTCAACTTCAGAAAAATTTTCTTCCAGTTCTGATTTGAATAATTCTTTCTCTCCATTTGCTCTATTTTCTTCATCTAGAATTTTATTATATATTGAAACTTCTCATTCTGCCCCCTCCATCTCTTAAACTGTATTTTAAATTTCCCAACTCTTTACCTTTTTGTGCTATAATCCAAGTGATTTTTAAAATCTTCTCCCAACTTTACTAATTTTTTTTTTATAAATATGCTTCTGAGTTTACTAATCTCTTTCATAGCATATGTAGCATATGATTAAGAAAAAAAAAAAAAAACCTCAGGTTATATAGGTTCAGATCTCAGTTTCTACCACTTACTTACCAGCTGTTTAACTTGGCTTTGGACAAGCTATCTATCTGCTCTATGTTTCATCATCTGTAAAGCAAGGATAGTGACAGTACCAGGATTATATATTATATATAACTAGTTAGATGAAACTGGTTAATATATGTAAAATGCTATTTTAAAGTACTTGACAAAATTTAAGTATGATGTGTTAGCCATTGCTTTTGTTATATTATGAAGTTGTTGGCAACAACAATGACAGTGTGTCAATATGATACATAATGATACATTCCCCCAATAATTGGCCATAAAATTTCCAAACATATAGAAAAATTGAAACAATAACAATTATGTGCATGCCTACCACCTAGATTCTATAATTAATATTTTGTTTCATTTCTCATATATTTGTTGTTTGTTTAGCTCTCCACCCATTCATCTTACATATATATATATCATTCATTTCAAAAGAAATAACAGAAATCTGTAATCTTTGCCCCTAAACACTTTAAGTTTTTTTACTTTAAAGATTTCATGTATTTTATTTGGCAAATAAAAATTGTATTTATTTGGGCCAACATTGAGCTCAGTGGCAGAGCACTTGCCTAGCATGTGTGAGGCACAGAGTTTGATTCTAAGCACCACATATCAATAAATAAAATAAAGGTTCATTGACAACTAAAAAAAAAATTTTTTTTAAATTATTTATTGTGTATAACTTGATGTTTTGATATACATTGTGAAATGATTAAATCAAACTATTTAGCATATACATTACTTCACATAATAATTTTTGTGGTGAAAGCATTTAAAGTCTTAACAATTTTCAAATATATAATATTTTGTTATTAACTGTAGTCACCAATAATATACAATAGATCTCTTGAACTTGCTCCTTCTATCCAACTGGAGTTTTGTATCATTTGACTAACACTTTTCCAATCCCACCCCCACCCCCTTAACCCCTGCCTCTGGTACCCACCATTTCACTTTGTTTAAATACCAGTTCCACTTTGTCATGCTCCATTTATAAGTAAGCTCACGTAGTGTTTCTTTTTATGCCTTGTTTATTTCACTTAACATAATGTGTCCTAGGTTTCTCACTGTTACTGCAGATCCAGGATTTCCTTCTTTTTAAAAACTGAATAGTATTCCATTGCATGTATTTACCCCCATTTTTTTAAAAAAATAAATTCGCTCATCTATTCATGGACATGGAAGTTGATTATATGTCTTGACTATTATGTATAGTGTTGCCATGAACTTAGGACTGCAGATATCTCTTTGACATACTGATTTCAGTTCTTTTGAATGTATCCCCAGGATTGAGTTTTCTGGATGCTATGGTAGTTCCATTTTTACTTTTCTGAATAATTGCCATACTGTTTTCAATAATGGTAGTATAAAGATATAGTCTCACCAGTGGTGTACAAGGATTTCCTTATAGATACTTCACCTTACTTATTTCACTAGTTTAATTTCAGTAATTGCATCTCAACCTCCCAAAGTTCTTTTGGGTTTTTAAAAATCAGTTTTATGAATACCAGTCTTTCTACTGTGGTTTTCAGTCTTTCATTAGTTATTTCAGAGATGTTCGATACTTTTATTTAGATTGTTCTACCAATACTAGTTCTCTTGAGACTGGTTTTTGATACTGGGAATTGAACCCAGGGGCACTAAAGCACATTCTAGCCCTTTATCTTTTTAATTTCAAGATAGAGTTTTGCTATGTTGCCCAGGCTGCTCTCAAACATGTGATCATCCTGCCTCAGCCTCCTGAGTCACTGGGATTATAGACATGCATTATCACTTTGGGCTCTGTGATTATTTATTAAAAGTTTATCAAAGTTTGCTTTTCCTGTCTCTACTGAGTTGCAACAATGTCCTCTGGTGTGTTTTTTCCCTCATTTATTCAAGATCTCTTATAGGTTCTGGATTAATTTTGTGGTTACTCCGTTTAGGACTTCCTGATCCCATTTGCAGGGTCCTTTTGGAACACCTCAGCTTCACATGACATAGACTTGAGATTTTGAGTGTTGTAAAGGATTTTATTGCTTTTCAAAGCACTAACGTATGTATTTCAAGCTTTCATGTTGCCTCTTTGCTTCCCCTTTGGTAACGATGGGCAGCTGCTCCTGCTGTTCTTCCTCCTCAGGCAATTCACATTCCAGGAGCTTTAACTTATTCAACTAGAGATCAGATTTGGCTATAATTGGTGATCTACCTAAACAAGTATTTTTTTACCTTTTCTTAAAAAGTATAATTATCTAAGATAATTATTTTAAATTCTATTTCCCTGAGGTCTTTTATGACTGTATGTATGATGATATTGGGATTAAATGCAAAATTCTGCATTTTGGAGTGTATATACCTGCTTTGTTTTTGAAAATTCTCAGATTTGAATTTTCCTTGGGGGGAAAAATGTGTTTTAAAGGCTTTTGACCTGGTAAGAAAGTATTTCTTCTCCTTCATTATTGAAATATGTGAGAAATTGAGAGTACAATTACATTTTGTACTTTAAAAAATTATCAACTATAGTATGCTGAGAAATTACCCAGAGACCTTTAATGAGATTCATAATCAACAACATAAAACTTTTCTCATTAACGGTCCATCTTCCCCCTACACACAAAGATTCAAAATTACTGTGTTTAGGAAAGAAATCTTATTTTGTTGCTTAAAGTCAATTTTGGCCTCACTCTCAGATGCTGAGAAATTGTTTAAAACCAGATTGTATACAAAATTTGTAATTTATCTTTATTTTGTCCTAACCCTTATTAACTGACTTGGAGAACCTGTCAATCCTGAAGTTACCCACTATATACCGGACACAAGTTTTTTGTTTTGTTTTTGTCTTTTTGCCTTCATATAAAAGTGGGATCTGATAGTTTCATGCTTTATAATCTACAGGGACCCATAATAAGTTGAGGAAAGCACATGTGTTTTACTTCTTTTCTCATCCAAAATTAAGTTGATATCATCAGGT